AGAGAATAACTATAACTATAGGAAGTTTTTAGCTAACTAAATCTCTTTAAATAATAATAATAATAGTATTATAAATAATAATAATATTAATAATAATAATAGTATTACTACTAATAATACTAATAATAATACTAATAATATAGAAAATAATTCTATAGATAACTCTTTAATAGAGAATAATAACTCTATTAAGAAGGATATTAAAGGTATACTTAAAACCAATATATCTATTAATATACCTAGAAAAATAGATAAAGAAGAAGAATATAAAGAAGTCCTTAATATAATAATAATAAATAATTATAATAATTATATTCTTAATATTATAACTAAGCCTTTAAAGCCTTCTAGTTATAATAAAGCTATAAATTCTAAAGAAAATTTAGAATAGCTAGAGTCTATAAAACTAGAAGTAGATAAATTATATTTTTATAATACTTAGACTATATCCTATAAACCTAAGGAAAATTAAGAAATTCTAAAAGGTTGCTAGGTATATAAAATAAAAGAAAATAATTTAGATTATAAATATAAATATAAATCTAGATAGGTTATATAAGGTTTTAAATAAGTTAAAAGACTTAATTATAAAGATACCTTTATAACTACTACTAGAATAGAATCTATAAGAATTCTATTAATTTTAGCTATATATAATAACTATTATATCTAATAATATAATATAAAGAATGCTTTTATATATACTAATATAGATTATAAAATCTATACTATTTTACCTAAGGGTTATAAAGATTATTTATTAGAAAAATTATCTTTTAAATTAAATATAAGTAAAAGTTAAGCTAAAGAATTATATAAAACTAATAGAATTATTACTAAATTAAATAAAGCGTTATATAGTCTAAAATAAAGCCCTAGACTATAGTATAATTTTCTATTAAATAATTTAAATAAACTAGGATTTTATACTAGTCCTTATAATTAGGGAGTATTTATAAATAATATATATAATATAGCCTTAATTTTATATATTAATAATATCCTATTTATAGGGGCTAATATAAATATAATAAAAACTACTATCTCTAACCTAAATAAATATATAAAAGTCTAAGATTTAGGTAAAATAAGAGATTTTCTAGGAGTTAATATAACTATTAATAGAAAAAATAAGTATATATATCTTTCCTAGTATAAATATCTTATTAATAAAATAAAAGAATATAATAAAGAAAATATAGGAACTTCTAATACCCCTATGTTAGAAGGTCTAAAGCTAGTTAAATCTACTATAAAAGCTAGCTTAATAGATATATTATAATTTTAAAAAGAAATAGGCTCTTTATTATACCTAGCCTTAAAAACTAGGCCTAATATAGCCTTTATAGTTATAACTTATTCTAGGTTTGCCTTTAAACTAGACTATACCTACTTTTCTACTTTAAATACTATATAGAAATATTTAAATAAATTTCCTAATAGAGTTTTATTTTATAATTATAATTTTCCTATTAATTATAATTTTATAAAAGGTTTTTCTAATACTTCTTAGGCTAGTAACTTAGAAGAAAGAAAATCTATAACTAGTTATAGCTTTTATATATATAATAACCTTATAAGCTAGTCTTATACTAAGTAAAAATATATAGCTTTAAGTACTTATAAAGCTAAATATATAGCTTTAAGAGATTATACTAAAGAAGCTATATTTTTAAATAATTTATTTAAATTTTTAACTAATAGTTTAAATTTAAATAGAAAAAGCTCTATACCTCTTATTTTAATAAATAACTAGGCTACTATTAAATTAGTAGGAAATCCTAAATTTTATAAGAAAACTAAGTATATAGATATAGCTTATTACTATACTAAAATATATATTTTAAATAAAAATATAATAGTTTTCTATATTAAAATAGCTAATAATTTAGCTAATATTTTTACTAAGCCCCTAGGCTTAATTAAATTTAATAGTTTCCTTAATAAATTATCTCTAGGTAATATACCTAATTAATAAGATATTAAATAATAAGGTTTTTATAAGCTATATAAATAAATAGTTTTTTCCTTATATATATATATATAAATAAGTTTTTTACCTAAATAATAAAGGTTTTTCTTATTATAATACTAATAAACTCTAATAACTATAATATAGGTTAAATTTCCTATATATTATAATAGGTTAAAATTCCTATACACTATAAAAATACTCTATATAATAGGTTTAAATCCCTATATATAATATAATACTATATAATAATAGGTTTAAATTCCTATATATAACTAGGTTTTTTATATATTTTATATATATAATTTTTCCTATTTTATAATATTTTTATTTAAAAAAATATAAATTTAAAATATACTCTTTATAGGGGGATATAAAGGATAATAGTATAATTATATATACTATAAAAATACCCTAATTTTTCCTATTATAATAGACCTACTTTTATATAATTTAGATAACTATTATATAAGATATAAGGGAGTTATATAACTCTTAGATACTTTAGAATGCCTTTAATGCCTCTTCTTAGATACTTTAAAATACCTATATTAACTCTATATTAGAGTATTTAGTAGTTATTTAGAAGTAGAAGAAAGGTCTCTATAGTCTCTAGCTATAAAGCATAGTAATCCCTCTATATAATTTATATATAATCTTTATAGCTATTAATATTATAATTCTTCTTCTTTCTTCTTTTACCTATTTAATCTACTTTTCCTACTTATAACTTATATTTAATAGACTTTCTACTCCTTCTACTTAAGTATCTTATATACCTTAATATTAAAGGTATTATATAGTTAATTAGCTAAAGACTTATAGTAGCCTACCTTAATTAGATATTATTAATATTAAAAGTTTAGTTATATACTTATATATATATAGCTAAAAAGAGCTATTTTCTATTTAAGAAGCTTATTTAGCTAAATTTAAGTTTTAATAAGCTATCTTAATATTACCTTTTTAATAGGTTATAAATAGTAATATTAAATAGTTAAAGAATATATAAGGTATATATAGGGATTATAACTATATAGATATTATTATAAAGATATATTAAAAAAAAATATCTATTAAATAAGACTTATACTTATTTAAAACTAATAATTACTTCTAATTAGCCTATATTAGCTAAGTATAGGGAATAAAAATTTCTTATAGCTAATAAAGGCTTAGCTTATTTATAATCTACCCTTTTTTACTATATATTATATACTAAGACTTAGAATATATTAGATTAATAAAGAACTATTATTTCTATATTATCTCCCCCTTATAAATAACTAAAGATAATAGCTTTTAATTAGTTATTAATATATATTTAATAATTATAATCTATTATAAAGACCCCTAGTCTATATAATATATATATTTATTACCTTAATTTATACTAATTATAAGCCTATTCTAGTTATTACCTTTAGCTAAGCTTATTTTATTTATATTTTAATAATTTAATTAGCTAATCTTTATTATTATAAGGTTTATATAAATATTAAAAAACTTATTAATAATATTAAGCTATATAATACTAACCTTTTTTTAGTATAGTATCTTAATATATTAGGTAGTAATTATAGGGTTCTTTTCCTTAAAGGTAGTAAACTAATTTTAACTAAGTAGGCTATTATTACTATTTTTAGCTATTAGCTTTTATACTATTAGCTATATTTAAATATAAGTTATTAATATCTTTAGTTTTTCTTAAATTAGTAGTTAATTATAAAGTATAGTTTTCTAAACTAATATTAATTATTATATATAACTATTAGTATTATTATAAGTTAGGCTACTAAGGTAGTATTTCTATAAGGTAGAGTATAGAATATAATATAATTTTATAGCTTAATAAAGACTAGTTTTATTTATAATTAATAAGATAGTATTATCTATATTATCTTTTAACTAATTAAGCTTTAATAATATTCTAGAAAAGTAAGGTTAGTAAAAAGTATAGTAGAATTACTTTAAATTAGTATATATAGAGCCTAAGAGTAGTATATATAAAGTATTAAAAAGGTATATATAGAGCTATAAAGCTATAAATATAGAGCTATAAAATAGTATATATAGAGCCTAAGGGTAGTATATATAGAGTATTAAAAAGATATATATAAAGCTATAAAGCTATATATATAAAGCTATAAAATAGTATATATAAAGCCTAAGGAAGTATATATAGAAGTGTCTTATAAATTAGCTTAAGAAATATAGTAGCTTTATATAGTCTATATTAAGCTACTAACTTATTAATTTTTTACTAACTAATCTGTTTTTTTCTACTGACTAATCAATTCCTAACCTCCCTAGCTATACTGATAAGCTGGTTCCTGGACCAGGGTGGTGGTTCCTGGAGGGGGTGGTTGGGTTACCACATCACCATCAAGACCAAAACCAAGCCCAGCCATCCGCGCCTCACGTTCCACTCAGGCTCCAGCAAACAGTGCCCCATCATTGCCGTTGTGCACTTTCAGGCGGCCGCCGTGGGCATCAAGGTCGGTCTGGGCGACCCCGAGGACATGGCCGGGGTGGAGTGGGAGGACCTGTCGTGCCGAAACAAGGCGACGCACGCCAAATACGCGTGGTCTGTGACTCTTCCGTCTGCAGAGGCCGCGGACGGATCCAAGTCCGCTCGTCGGACCTTTGTGTGGACGCGCACCAGGAACAAGGGCATCGACGGCACCAAGCCGACGGCGGCGACGAACCGCCACTGGAAGCTCTCCGAAGAGGGCAGCGAGGACATTCTCGCCCTCTTCACGGGACAGGCCAAGATTGGACAGTGCGGTACGCTGGCCATGCGGCGGGACTTGGATGGAAAGCTCCGTCGTCTGGCGCTGGTCACGTTGATGGGTCTCTACGAGAGAGCGCGCACCTCGGGCGGCTAGGTGTACTTGCCCGGGCTCCCATCTGTACAATAGTATCTCCTTGATTTACTCAGCTTGGATTTTCACCATCAAAATTTGTACGAGCTCAATCCGCAGTATATACAAAGTGTCCAAGCTGGAGAAGCCTCCAATACTAGTCGCTACGTCGCCTTTAGACTCTGCTTGGACATGATCGAGGTAAAGGCAGCCAGGGCCGCCTCGGGCTGGTACGCCGGCACCTCGTGACCGGCATCATAGACGCGCAGCCAGTTGAGGTTGCCCGCCGTCTTGTACTCGCCGTACTTTTTGCCGCCGACGGTGTAGGGCTGGATCGCGGCCGAGACAAACTCCTGCGGCGCAATCGACTGCACGGCGTCGTAGTTGCCCATCCAGTTGCAAATCCAGTCTACACAGGCATCAGCACACATCTTCTCTCACTAGGCACGTAGTGCGGGCGCGGAAAACTTACCAGCATCGCCAGCCCACACCAGGACGTTGACGTTGGACTGGATGACTCTGGACAGAGGCGCGAGGAACGAGCGGGCGCCTAGTCAAGGGTTGTCAGTAACACGAGTACACAGATTGCAGAAGGAACACGTACTGTCGTCGCCGCCAATCGCAGACCGCCCGCAGGAGGAAAAGTTGGATGTGGCGCCAATCGCTTTCATGACGGACGCGCTGGTAATGTAGTTAACAAACGTGCTCGGCGGGAAGGAGTCGCTGTCGGCGCGGATATCGTAGACATCAAACTGGGCGAGCTCTTCCAGCGGGCTCTCGACGTAGAGGCCGCACTCATTGCCCGCCCGCGCGCAGGCCTTGTTTGTGCTGGCATCGTCGGAGCAGCCGTCATACGCGGGCGCGCACTTGTTCTGCCAGTCATCATAGTACTTTTGCGCGTCGTCAGCGCTAAGCAGCGGGCGGTACTGGTTCTTGACGGCAAAGTCAATGTACGCTCTGTACTGGTTCTCTGTTTTTCTCTCTCATCAGCCTTTTTGTCGTCTGCGCTTCAGCCACACGGGAGATGCTTACTGGGGTCGATCCAGCCATTGTTGACGCCGAGGGCCACGAGATGCACCTTTTCGCCCGTCACGGTGCCCGCGTCGATGGCGGCGTTTTGCTGCTCAAAGTAGTCGGCAAACGCGGGCCCGTAGTGGCCGCCGTAGGACTCGCTGAAGAGCCCAAAGTCGCGCGACCGGTACTCGGGGAACCGGGTGAGAAAGGCCTGCAGCATGGCCCACACGGCCGGCGCGGCGTGCGGCGTCGAGTCGACGGCGTTGACGTCGCCGTAGCTGAAGCCGGCGCCGATGGGCTGGTCGACGTAGAGCTGGGGGGGGACCACCAACCTTGATTAGCCAAAGCAAACAGGAAGGGGACAAAAACTTTGTCAAGGAGTTACCATGTTTGCGAACGTGTTCCACGAGTACGGGTTCAGCTTGGGCTGCGAGCCGCCGTCGTTGAACGTGCAGGGCCCGTTCTCCTGGAACAGGCCGAGCATGGAGCTGCAGCCGGGGCCGCCGTTGAGCCAGAGGGCCAGCGGCGCCGTCTTGGCGTTGCTGCGGGCCTCGAAGAACCACCACCACATGTTCTGGTTGTCGCCTTGTTGTCTGCGCATCAGCGGACTTGCTTGTGCTGTATATACCTCACCATGTCTGTGGGATGGCAACTCACCGACCGTCTGGTAGCCAGAGTACTGGTTCACCCCGGGCGTTGTCTCGCAGATGCCCGAGTTAGACACGTACTTGAGGCTGGTGCCCGTGGCGGCGTGCTCAAACACGCTGTACTCGACGTCGCCCTCGGTGCGCTTGTACTGTTTGTTGGTGGTCTCTTGCGGCAGCGCGGCGCCGAGCCCGGCCAGGGCGGTGAGAGCAAGCGGAACAAATCGCATCGTTGTTGGGTGAGATGAGATGGCAACTAGTGTAGAGCTTCAGAGTTGTTTGTCTCTCGGGGCATTCCCGACTATATAGACTTGGCAACTACCCCGGCAAGCGATCGTCGTTGACAAACATGTTTGTTCTTGCCTTGAGCGGTCCGAGCATACGACGCTGCCACGGCTGGGAAGGCCACGGCTGCGAAAAGGCTCAACTCGCCTCGTATATTCTTGCCTTGGAGCACATCTATTCGACAAGCACGAAAGGAGCCTATCGTCCTTTAAGAAGCTTGCTGCCCGCTAGGTCGAGCGATCCCGGTAGCGGCCTGCCTAATGGGGCAGGTCCCCGGCACTTGATACCGCCTACCGTTGCACCGGACCGCTGCGATCATCTCTCGGTATCTCGGAACCAGCAGGTTTCATTGAGCCCGACTCGAAGGCTGTGCGTTGTTGGGTTGCTGGCTTGCTCTTGGTCAGAGCCGACGGGTACAACAATGGCGATGCGGTAACACGCGGGATAGATGGGATGCTGGCTGATTTTGGTAAAGAGAATGCCGGCCTGGGAACGGGCGCTAGGTTCGTCATGTTCGCGCTATCCGTACTTGGCAAGGCTGCCAGACGAGGCTTGGCGAACGATCGGACCGGTAGCCTTACTAGTTAGGATATAATAGCGTGCTGAGCTTGCATCTTCTAATCGTGGCCTCTTAAGATAATTCAGTCTATGCCGAGTTTAACATGGTTATCCAGTGAAACTCCACCGTTGATAAGCCGAAGACATTTGCGGACTCTTGGCAACATAAAGCACTTACAACTGAGATGGAATGTGGAAGTCGCGCTCTTCCCCCAGAACGTAGCTTGACCTCCAAACTCAAGGTATATAATATTTATTATATATTTACCAATTTCGCTCGCCTCGAGTCAGTCTTTCCATTTTATAGGAAAGAGTAGGCAAGGCTTTGTGGCGCGGCCAAAGCCAATACATTTTTGGGCTACCCGGTAGCTTGTTCATCATCGTCTGTTGTCACAAGGTTAAGGTCAGGCCACGCAATGCTTGTGGAGGGCGCTAAAATGCATTCATTTGTATTAAAGGGAGAATATTACAGTGCATTTACAAGAGTAGGGATTTTAACTTATCGCTGCTAGGATCCCCTTGAGGAGCGTGTGCAAGCATTTCAATGTATATAATGCTAGAAGTAGACGATTAAATTGGAAACTTCGCGTAGACATGACCAGCTTCGCTGATAGGAAGCCCACATCAGTTATGGGCTCTATCCATGAAGAGGGGAGAGGGAAGGGGCGAAACGTAAGAACGACAGCATCTCCGTGACAAGGCGTCCCGTCAGTAGCGAGTTCCTCACATAATGTGGATTTTTCCGCAAACAAGACATCGACTAGGCAAGGTCCAGCTTCCCTTTGGGACTTCAATGTATGGCTGCTTTCGCCTCCCCCGCGTTCTGGGTCGGTCGATGCTGGTCTTGATTGATGGCAAGGGCGATTGGTTGCGGTATTGGTGGTAACTGGGTAGATTCAGTGGCAAAATTCTCGTCGCCGCTGTTGGTTCACGTGCATGTCGTAACAATTGGAAAGAATGCTTCCGCCACGCGGAGAATCAGATCCGGCGAATGATCTTTGGCCCGACAAAAGTGCGACCATTGCCATGTATCCGTATGGGAGGGAACTGGGCCAATGTCCAGAGCGAGACACACAATTACACATGTTTCTGATTAGATGCTTTTCTTGTGTCGCGAATATACTAGTACCTTTTTTAGTCCTACGCCACTGGTTGTCAGTTTTAGAGTCTTTCTGGTCGGCATCGGCTGACGGCGACGCACGACATTTCCGGAACCAACGAGAGTAGCGCCATTTCAACAGAGGGGTGAGTGGAGGGAATGAAAGTTCCTCTGTTTTCAAGGCAGGTTGGCGATTGGACAGGGCAGCTAGGATCTCTCAGACTCCAGCGCACTATTACCCCGGAAATGGTGGCTGCATCCCCTGTCTGTGTTCCAATGCAAAAGTTCTAGTTAGTCGTGGTGGGCTGGTGGCGCTCCTCGCGCAGAATGAGCTGATGTCCCCAAGGCGAAAAGGGGCTAACTTATATTCGTTCACTGCATGACATACCAGGATTGACACGCAGGACAAGGGAACGCTGGCCGTCTCTTGTCGGCAGGGTGAGCATACGCGCTTGGGACATTCATATACGACAAGGGATACGAATGTCTGTTTGATATCCAGCTGTCATTATCGCTTGGCGTCGGCCTCGCAGCGATCCGTCCCATCCCGCACTTGGCGGCTTGGCATTCCCGAGGCGACGGCCGTAACTAGGGCGGCATGTAGAAGCGAGCGCCTCGGTTTGACGTGTTTCGACTCACGCCATGGGTATCTCAAAAGTTCCCCTCATCAAGAACGGTATCGCCTGACGAGGGTGCCCAAATATCTCATGCAATTCTGTCAGGTAGGAACTTGTGATTGGCGTCCGGCGAGGCGGCAGGCTTATTGGTGACGAAACCCCTTTTTTACTCATTTTTACTGCATCTTGAGCAGGCCCTTTTGCAATGTCAGGTATCGGAACTTTGGAAGCCAGATGTGGCAAGTACGAAAAGTCGGCGGTGGAGAAGAAGTACTTGATCGCATCACGCTCCGGTCCCTTTGGAAAGAACTTTTGGAAGCCCGTCCTCGAACTAACTAGCGGCTTCGTCTGTACAGGAGCGAGACGAGCGAAAACCTTTACCTCATAGAAACGCCATCTTGGGGTCATCCGGGGTAACTATTGCAGCATTCCTCGGTCGCCTCACCGCACGACCCACGGGTTCGCGGAGAAGCATTTGGAATTGTGCAGCGTGTCTGTGTCTGCAGTCTTTGCAGTCGTCTTGATGCCAGAGAATTCACCCTGGCCTGCAACCCAGCCTCCCGCTCCCTCTCCATCTTTGCCGGCGCTTGTCGCATCTCAAAAGTCGTCTTCTTTTCCCACTCTCTCCACAGCCACATCACACGAATGGAAACAGCCTCATCAGTCGTTGAGATGACGTGAAACTTGTTTTGTTTGTTTCAGCGCCTCAATTCCCCCCGAGTTGCGCCCACCAAGCTGCTTCACTCGTGGTGGCGCCGCCATGCGGATGGTGCCGGGAATCGCAGAGGCTCTTTTGCTTGGCAGCACCTGCCGGATTCCGGGGTGGGGGCCGCGCAATTGTCAGAAGGGGCAGCTCTGGAAAGAACTTTTGTCGAGCGCCACTACTGCATGGGCCCGGCTGTAGATATTATGTCCTGCTATACCCATACAGTACGGATATAGAGATGGCAGCAGGCTCGAGCCCCGTCGCCACGCTACGTCCGTACCGAAATCGGCGGCCTACGCTGTTTCGGGAGACATCTCCTGGTCGCAGAATGAGGTGCTGCCAGGACAACAGCGTCTATGAATTTACAAGCGCGCGTGGATCTTGGGTGTGGCACCAAACGTGCTTCTCACCCGGCGTTGCCATACGCCCCATGTTGCCAATCCATATTCGAGGGCCGCTTACTGGAACAGTGATAGGTTTCCGATGCTTATAGCGACGACTCTGTAACAATCAGATGGCGCAAATGGGCAAGTGATGGCTTTCCCACAGCGCGCCGTCAGCTCCTGCAAGCCCCTTTGCGATATGGACGACTAGTGGTCATACCAGTAGACCTTTTAATTGTACAGAGTACGAATTAATGAAATGGCAGACGCAGAATTACGGAGTTCATACTCATCATTGGCCTGCGCACCTTCCGTGGCGTTCTCAATGCGCACGCCCTTCCTGCCACCGACAAAAGTATCGGCACCTTCCTTTCTGCAGCTCGAAGACGGGGGTGGCATTGAACATGGCAACTGTTGCACTGATAATGTACTCCGCAGTATATCTCAATCCAGAGTACCTCAACTATATATTATCTCTCATCCCCGGCCGCATTTCTTACCTCGACCTATCCGTCTCGTCTCTTCTCCCTGGTCTCAGACGAGTTCCTTTGCCGCTTTCCCTCTTTGCAGCCAAGAAGCATTCTCTCACCATGTCTGAGCGCAAACCCTTTGCCAGCGACCCTCTTGGGGACGGCGACGCGCCGCACACCACCGCCTCGGGCGTGGACGAAAAGGCCGACGTCGCCCGCCACCAGACCACCATGGTCGACGTCAGCGTGCACCGGCTCGCCGAGAAGCGCGGGGACGGCGCCGACGGCCTCGCGCCCATGGACGACATTGAGCAGGTCATGACCAAGATCGAGGTCCTCGGCGTCGAGGAGTGCCGCCAGATCCTGTCCGACATGCTCGAGTACCACAAGTACGACTACAACTTTGGCGACGACACCCGCACCCGCTTCTGGAACCTCATCAGCGGGCCCGCCGACGGCCAGACCCCGGATGAGTGGGAGACGGAGCTCAAGACGGAGACGGCTGTCTGCAAGTTCTTCTCCCCGTACCCCGAAGTCCGTGCCATTACCGACGCGACCGACGACGAGGACATGCCCTGCGAGACGCTCCGTGCCGTCTTCCTCGGCCTCGTCTGGGCCGTCATTTCGCAATTCACTAATTCGCTCTTCAACTCACGCTACCCGCAAATCGTCCTCTCCTCGGCCGTCGCCCAAATCCTGCTCTACCCGTGCGGCATGGTCTTGCAGTATATGCTTCCCGACTGGGGCTTCACCTGGCGTGGCTCCCGCGTTTCCCTAAATCCTGGACCCTGGACCTATAAGGAGCAGATGCTCGCCACCATCATGATCAATGTTGGTTCTACGTCGGCATACTGCTTCTGGAACATTCAGACACAGACCGTCTACTATCACGACAAGTGGCTGACGCCCGCCTATAGCATCATGCTGCTCCTCGCCACCCAGATGATGGGCTTGGGCTTCTCTGGTCTGCTGCGTCGCTTTGTCATTTACCCTGTGGAAGCCATTTGGCCTAGCATCCTACCTACCCTTGCTCTGAACCGCGCCTTACTAGTGCCTGAAAAGCGTGAGACTATACATGGGTGGTCTATTACCCGATATAAGTTCTTCTTCATCGTCTTTGCCGGCACGTTTGTGTATTATTGGCTTCCTGGCTATCTGTTCCCTGCTCTTAGCACCTTTGCTTGGATGACCTGGATTGCTCCTCGCCACTTCAACCTCAACATTATTACTGGCTCCATGGCTGGTTTGGGATTCAACCCAATACCTACCTTTGATTGGAACTACATGTCTGTCTACTCTCAGCCGCTGGTCTACCCCTTCTTCGTCACCCTTCAGCAGTACATTGGCAGTATCATCGGAGGTCTTGCCATTGTTGGCCTGTACTGGAGCAATGTTCAGTGGACGGCGTACCTTCCAATCAACGACTCGGGCATCTTTGACAACTTGGGTCACCGCTATAATATTTCCCGCGTCGTCGTCCCCGGTACCGGTACCCTTAACCAGACCGCCTACGAGGAGTACTCGCCCGCATTCTACAGCGCCGGAAACCTGGTTGTCTACGGAGCCTTTTTCGCCTTTTATCCACTGACCTTTGTTTTCATCTTCCTCGATGCCTGGCGTCCTCTTTGGCGTGCCACCAAATCAATGTGTACGTCTGTTGCCGAACTCACGACTCGCATTCTCAGTGGTGTTGGCAAATCTGTTGGTGCTCTGGCTCGCGGACGTGTTGTTGACAGTGGCCGCCATCTGCTCAACATCTCCCAGACTGAGTCATCCATCTATGATGGGTTCGACAACGCGCTGACAGACTTGGTCCGCAAATACCCCGAAGTTCCCGACTGGTGGTTCTTAATCATTGCCCTCATCTCCTTCATCTTCTCCATCATCATTTTGAAAGAGTGGCCCCAGCTTGATACCCCTGTCTGGACCATCTTCTTCGTCATCGCTTTGAACCTTATTTTCCTGGTCCCCATGTCGTACCTGTACGCCATTTCTGGTACTACGGAGGGACTCAACGTTGTCACGGAGCTTATTGTTGGATATGCTCTTCCTGGCCATCCCGAAGCCCTCATGTTCGTCAAGGCCTTCGGTTATAACATCAACGGTCAAGCCGACAATTACATCTCTGATCAAAAGATGGGATTCTACGCCAAGCTACCCCCTCGTGCCATGTACCGCGGTCAGGTCCTCAGCTCCTTTGTCAGCAGTTTCGTCGCGTACGCTGTTGTTCAGTTCGCCGATAACGAGATCCCTCACATTTGCGACCCTCACCAGGAGTCCAACTTCACCTGCGCCAATGGTTCTCGCGTCTACTTTGCTGCCTCGGTGGTCTGGGGTGCAATTGGTCCTGCCCGTACCTTTTCGCAGATGTACCCCGCTCTCAAATACTGCTTCCTGCTCGGCTTCCTTTTGGCTGTTTTCTGGTGGACCGGGAAGCGCTTCGGCAGCAACGTCCGCAACGCCGCCAAGAAGGCCCTGCCCAGTGCCATCTACACGCCCATCAACATCATCTTCTTCAAGCCCCTGGCGCTGCTCAGGGACATCCATCCTTCGTTGGTCATGAACGGCTTCCTATTCTGGGCTCCCAACAACCTTTCGTACTTTACCGGAGGTCTGTACGCGGCGGCTGCCTTCATGTACTACCTCCGCCGGTACAAGACTGCTTGGTGGGAAAAATACAACTATCTTCTTTCGGCGGCTATGACTGGTGCCGTTGCTTTCTGCGGCATCATCATATTTTTCGCTGTGCAGTACCACCCCAAGGATATTGACTGGTGGGGAGTCAGCATTGTGGCCAACACCATTGATGGTCGTGGCCTGGACGGTGAACAGTCCTCCCTACTTAAACCGAACGGTACCTTTGGTCCAGCCAAGTGGAATTAAGGAATTACGATGGATGTGTCCGAGTTGAATGTTGATATGATGACCTCTTGTTATAGCACGAGTCCTGACTGTCTACGAGATGGCAATATACCCTGTAATTACTTTTACACTATGAAACATGCATTATGTTGTCACCATGTAAGACGTGCGTTAGCATTGGGTGAAGTGAATAATAGAAGAATAAAGATTAGAGATGCCAAATTTGACTCTGAGCTCGCGTCACGTATTCATTTTGGGGTTCTTGTGAAAAGAATTGCTTGAGAAAGCGCCACGCTTGAATGGAAAACGTCATTACGATGCCGCCAGACACGAAAAAAAAAATCGGACTTGCTAAACTCCAAGTCTGTTCACACGTGTCTCTTTCCTAGGAAATAAACGATTCAACTCGGTCTCATTTAGATTCCGTAGGCACACCCATTCTGCCCTCCGTGTTGGCCCTTTGGCACCGACTCCTGGCCAACGAGCCCATCGTCCTGGATCATTCGCAGCTGCGGTGTTGCATCTCATTTCCTCTTCCATTTTCTCAACATTCTTCCAGGAAAAAAATAGACTAGTTCATCGGAAGCGACAAGCTGGAACACGACGTGTGTGAGTTTTCCCGAATATGTCATCCACCGTCTTCATCCCGCTGAGCTGCGTCCCATCACTCGCCGCCCCCAAGTATCGTCTCTCTGTCCCTTAGTCCATCCTTCCAACACCTGTGTCCGAAGCCTCCAGCCGAGTTTGCCTCTAGCGAGCGGCAGTTTCGCCCTCAGCCCTGGCCGCCAAAGGACACATGATTCTCTCTATAGCCAGATCTCACTAAAAAAATGAAAGCTTAACCAACAAAGCCTCGTTCATCCTTGGTCGTTCAGTTTTCCATCAAGCTCGCGGCCACGCTAAACTAGCGATAGCATCACGGGGATGTGACCAAATGTGCCATTTTCTTTATACCAGGGCTCTAGACGCACGTAGCTTCCGTTTCACAGTGCCACGTAGGTCAAGTCAGCACGAGGGCATCGTCATTTACACCTCATCCACAACTATATCAAAAGCTTCGGGTCACGCACGCACTCCCAACGGTCAACTCCACCTCTTCCAGAACAGAGCAGTCCGGCACAATTCTCCTACACTGAGCCCTCTAGGGCAAACTAGAGGCTATCGCTGGAACTATATGACATCTAGGGCAAGCTAGAGGCATAACTTAAACAATATAATATTTAGGGCAAACTAGATCAACCTGGGTGCCCGCCCACCTATTAAAGGGCCGCACATTGGTAAAGTTGTGAAGAACACACCTTCCCTACACATCTTCCCTACACATCTTCCCTACACAATAACAACAACAACAATAAACAACAACAACAACAACAACAGCGAAAAAAACCGCTACCATGAAGTTCTTCCCCACCTTCCTCCTCGCCTTGCTCGCTCTGCCGCTCGCGGCCCTCGCCGCACCCCCCACCCCTGTCTCGGTCGAATCCGCCGAAGCCACTGAAGCCGCCGAAGCCGCTGAAGCCGCCGAAGTCGCCGAAGCCGCCGAAGCCGGCAAAGAGTGCACCATTCACGCCCGCTGGGAGGGCACCTGGATCGAGTACGGCCTCTCGCGGTACCGCGTGCGCATGTGGAACGAGGGCGGTGAGCGCAACCTCACCGATCATTTATGTGTTTTCTTCTGGAGTACGTTCGGTCCTCTCCCCCCCTCCTTTTCTCTCACACTCTCCTTGAAAACGCAACAAGCAAATCACTCACACACGTTCTAGTCGAGAGTTCGTTCGACATAATCTCCAACCCCAAGTGCTGGTACGACCTCGGCCACGCCGTCGGCGATGTCAGCTTCGGCCGGGGGCCCACCGGGCATGGACAGTACAAGAAGACGTTTTCGAAAACCTTCAAGGCTCTGAGAAAGTGGCACGGCTGCAAGCTGGATGTGCAGCTGTAAAGCGTCCCGAAATTGTGCTTCTTGCTTGCTCTTTTTTCCCCAGCTTTTTTGCGATTTGTGCTGGCCCGGCCTTTCTACACACGAGCTCACTGACGCGAGACTGGCAAAAATTAGAACAAACAGATATGGTACAGATATAAAGATAGGATAATATACAGTTTCGACGGATACCTCTAAGAATCAGTATGTTACAGTGCTATGCCACGCCAAACCCACACTTAGGCCGCGTAAAGATCCTCGCCGTCGCCGTCGAGTTGCGCGTCGTCAAAGCTCGATTCGCTGCTCGGCTTGCGCAAGTCATCGCCCGCCTCATTTGTATCGGCGCCCTCGCTAGGGGTGGCCGTCTCATCGTCGGCGTCGCCATCGATGCCGTCCTGTCCCATCATGGCGGCGAGTCGAGCTGCCCGGCCCTCCTTTTTGCGAGGTACCGGTGCTAGTACTGTTAGCGATGCAAAATGTCACTCTCAGGACGTGTGCTTACCTCGCCCATTCTCCTGCACGTAGAACCGACGCAACAAGGCGACAGCATCGTCACGGCCCCATCCGCCCTCGATCTCGTACCCCCGCTCCACGTTTCCTCCGTCACCTCCACCGGGAGGAAACGACACCCCCAAGCTGCCTCCTGTGCCATCAGGCAGCTGGATTGGCTTGGCGATGGGGTGCGCACTGGCGGTTTGACCGTCAGCCTTGACAGGCAGCGAGTTGGCATGCAGGCTGAATACGCCGCCAGTGCCTCCAAACTTGTCATTGACAGCGCCAAAGTAGACCTTTTTGATCTTGAGCTGTCGCAGCAGCGAGGCACACATGATGCAAGGTTCCACGGTGACGTAGAGTACACTCTCCGAGACGATGGACCTATGGACACGCTCTACGTCGAGCATCTTTTGTCCATAGGGATAGAGGTGCCCTTTTTTGCCGTCCTCGTTGCCTTCATGGGGCGGTACATCAGTCGACGGCGTTTCGGAGACGGCGTCGGGCAGTTCCGTCTCGGGCGGTGTGTCTTGTTCACCAGCCGTCACACCCGCAGCCATTTCCTCTTCATACGCTACCAAACGGGCAGCTTTTTCTTCCTCCTCCTTATCCGTGAGTTCCTTGGGCTTGAGGCGGGTTGGGCGCGGGCCGTCCTTGCTGGAGTAGGAGAACAAGGCGGCGAGGGCCATGTACTCTGCGTGGCGGGTACCATTGCGAGTAACGTTGGTGGCATTCATCCCCCTGGCAATGACTTTGCCGTCGTGGACCAAAACGCAGCCGACGGGTGTTTCGTTGATTTTAAGGGCGAGGCGGGCCTGCCATGTTAGCGTTGATGTGAATGAGGGCAGAGTTGGGGCGAATGACGTACCATATCCAAGGCCTCGCCGATGAATCGCAGATGTTCGGCGCGTTCAGCGGCAATTACGGGGTCATTGAGAAAGCTGTAGTCGACTTCGGGTTCGTCGTCTCCAGCGATCTCTTGCACGACCGGGTCCGGGGTCGCCACCGGGGCCGTCTTGACTGCGTCGCCCTTTTGAGGCGAGCCGACAATCTTGAGGCCGGCGAGCGAGGCGGCGAGCTTCTCGGGGGGCATATTTTCCTTGTTCTCTTCTCCCGGTGGGATTTGTGAGGAAAGAGGGGGCACTTTCTGTGTAGGTCGCGTCTGCTCCGTCAAGGGTCTAGGGGGAGCCATGGTGGGATCGGGTGTACTGGTGTTGAGGTTGTGTCCTTGTGAGTCTGGTGTAGGGGCTATATCGGGTGTATTTCTTCGGATGGCGGCCTCGTCGTCGTGGGCATGCGACTTGACAATATCTGAGAAGTCGCCGTTCAGAGCGCGAGACCAGCCGTCGTCGTGAGTATCTGCAGGAGTAGGGGGGGCGATGTGGTGGAGGGGAGGTGAAAGCAGCAATTCTTTGGACGAGGCAGAGGCGGCGGCGTTTGCAGCGGCAGCGTTTGCAGGAGGCATGAGGGAACCGCCTTCTCCTTCTGCATATTGGCCGGCAGCTGGCGACGAGGCACCAGACCCGTTGCCAGCTGGCGGCGTTTTGCGCAGGAGCCGGCGCATGGCAAGGCGGAGGCCGTTGCGGAAGCCACCCAGCTTGACCGACTTGAGACTTGTCATGGCGATCTCTGGGCGGCTGTGTATAAGGACAAAACCAGGATACTGGGCAATCAATGTCGCAGATAGTTTGGCATGCCCAGGGCAGTTTAAAAAACAAGTCTAGAAAACCCGTTTGTGTAGGGCCGCCTTGGTCCTCAAACCACGATTCTTTCAATCTGCTGCTGGTTTGAATATATCCAAAAAGAATAAAGGTTTTCAAAGGAAAAAAAAGCCCAAGGGCAACTCAATCATGCAAAGGGAATTTTCCCCGCGATACAGGAGCAAATTCAAGGCAATCGTGCCCAAGATAACGGTGATTGGGCCGTACCTATGTCTCGTGCTGCCTCACTTACAACGCGGTAGTGATGTGCGCGCGCACCCTCTGCTGGCAGCGCAAGGCAATCACCAAACAAGACGCTAAAAAAGAATCTCAAGGAAATGATGAAGAACTGGAATAATGTCAGGCCACTGGTAGGAGAAGAGAAGGAAAAAAAAAGGGATCGACTTACAGCAAAAAGATGGCGCCTGACGCCAGCAGCGTACCTGAACTAGACCAAAAAATATAATAAAAAAAAAGGAAGAAAAGGTTCAAGAAAAGAACATGCACCCAAAAGCCGCTCTAAACGTGCGTGGGTGACAAGTCCTTTTTTTCCCTTTTTCGCGGGCTGCCTAGACGTCCTTGTACGCCTTTGTGGTTGAAGCAAGCAAGTTTGCCCAGGGTCGGAAAAAAAAAATTGGCCAGGAACAAGTGAAGACGGGGGAGGTCTTTATATGAGATGCGCCAAACACGATCCCGTTACAACGTGGTGAAAAAGGCGGTCGGCCTAGTAATTATCGTCCTACCAAAAATCTCTCTTGCCCGCCTTGAAAATCTGTCCTCCCGCGCCAAGGGTCGTACAGCAGTTTACCGTATGCAAGAAAAACAGAGGGGGAAGAAGAGGAAGGTTGGAATTTCAAGGTCGCAGCCACAAGGTCGCAGCCACATCGCAGGTAGCGATCCAAGCGCTGAGTGGCCCCCAAGAAGAAGAAAATCCCAGCGGTCCCTCTAGTTAGCTCAGCTCCCAGCCAAAAACCAATCCACCTTTGGAAACGGCACAAGTCACCTGACAAGCCCCGTGACTTGGTCCAATGGTTTGCTGCATTCTCTGGCTGCAGACAGACCGGGGTGATTCAACAGGGGAACTTTCGCTTGTTACTACCTTCTAGGTACCTACCCAGGTATTACAAGCCGTAGGTACAATTCGTATCCGCTTAGTGATGATGCGGCTGGCGGATTTGCTGATTCTGCGTCATCCGTCACACCCGTTCACGTAGCACCGATATGGATACATCTCGATTACGAGTCACCAAAAAAAGCAAAATCACGTTTTTTCTTCTCTTGCACCCCTGTCAAGTATGCAGATGGAATGCCCACCACGCAGCGACGGCATGAACTGTAGAATTTATAAAATTTACGGCATCAAGTGCCTGCATGGAATTCAGAGGAGAAAAAAGCCCGCTCGGCACGTAGACCGCTACCAACCAATGCTAATGATACAAGGAGAAGAAATGATGTAGTAATCAAAACAATTGTAGCAAAATCGACTTTTATTTCCTCAACCCGAGGAAAAAGCAACACAACGCTTAGGGTATCACACACCACTACAGCCACCACACCCGTATCGACCTCGACAACCGGTGCGTCGGCACCTACTCAGCGGAGGGGCCCTCAACTAGCAGACGGCAGAAACACGCATGTACGGGGCCACCGCATGGCGGCCACGTTGCGTGTATTCTCGGCACGCTCTGTTGTGGATGCTCTGGGGCTGTAAAGAGGCGACAGACTGCGCATAGGCGGCCGCCAACAGCGTACCAGTGAGCGCGGTCTGTATCATCACAGCCAATTCTGAGGGGGTGATGGGGCTGGCCGCATCAAGGCTTGACAGTGATCTTCCGACGCTAGTCGCGTCATGCAGGGAACTGGTCGAGACGGCAGTCGGGGATACGTCAAACGCCGGCTCAGCATACTGGACAGGACGGCCAGCAAGTAAAGCAACAGGAGACTGGGAAGTCTCAACCATGGAGACCACAGAAGAAACTAGATCATTGTTATCCGACGAGGATTCGTCCGACGAGGATTCGTCCGACGTGGATTCGTAAATGAATGGCTTGTCATCAAGTTCCGAAGCAGGCTGCTTGCCAACATCCAGAGACCCGAGTGACTTGTCAAGATCCGAGGCAGAGAGGCTGATGTGCGACAGTTCATGTGCAGCATCGGATGTTGATTCACCATCCGGCAGTGCTGAAACAGAGAAGTCAACAATTTCCCAAGAGCCACGATCTGGCACATCAGAATGGACAGAAGACACGGAGCCGGATTCGTCAGAGACGTAGCCACCAAAAATATCGACGGGAGATGTGACCAGTGAAGGCGACGCAGTAGAAGATGAATCGGTGTATGACACAGATAGGGATGGCGTGCTTGACGATTCGGAGGCGGCGGGCGTGTTGACAAGTCCATGAGACCATACAGAAGCGGGAGAGTCGAGGCCAACTGCAAGTCGAGAAGTAGAAGCAGGGGTTGAGAGCATTCCAGTAGCAAATCCAGTAGCGTGTCCAGTCGATCCAGCGGGTCCGTTGTTGGTTACTGCAGTACCAGGGGTTGCGGCAGTGGCGCGGACCACGGGTTGAGACTGAGCAACTTCGGTGTTTCGATGAACGAAGCGTGAGGGCAGGCCATCTTGCAGAGTATCGAGAAGCATCGTAGGGCTACTCTGAGCCGACATTGCAAGTGGCACTGCCAGCTGATCAGGGTGGCCGCCCGAGCCATGGTCGAGCCACGTAGTCACGGTGGCATCTACATCGCCGGTGCCGGCGGATACAGACGCAACTGCCAATTCCTTCAAGGGGTTAGTCGCTGCCGCGTGAAGCGCAGAGCGGGTGGGACGTACACTTAGTTCTCGTGGTATATACAGTGACGAGCTGCTGGAATCATTGACAGTAGACACCTTCCAAAAAGTCAGTCGCTGCGGATTGGCTACATGCATCAGGGGAGGACTTGTACTCACGTTGACGAGGCCGGCGTCCACCGATCCTTGGCCACTGCTGTTGACAACCACAGGGCCAGGGGGGCAACAAATGATTAATTGACCTTGGTCGTTGGTGCTCATGACCACGTCGGAGCGACTCAGTACGCTAAGCGCACCCGCAATGCCACTGGCGGCCATGTCGCGCACATTGGTGCGTCCCGATGGTTCGGTTTCCTCAGCCCTGGTAAAAGGAGACTGTCCGGTCGCATGGCGATGGTTGACAACCTCGTCACCAATATCTGGTGACCCAACATTTGGTGGTCGACGAGGTGAGTCCGTCGGCGACGGTATATCTCGCGTAGAAAGGCTCGAGGTCGACGACCCAATGTCGAGCATAAGCTCATCCTCGGAAAAGCTGCTTCCAGGCGAGAACAGGTTAAAGTCGGTGTAGTCACCAGCAGAATCGTGCAACTCGTAAGGCAGTTGCGCCGACACCGATTCCGTTGTAGCAAGTGCTACTCCCTCGGGTAGCTCAGTATGAGACTCGGCACGCCCAATGTCGGGGCCACGGCCAGGAGGTGCTCCTGAACCAGGCGGCGAAGCCGATACAGATATGCGCGCAGCGGACAGGTCCGCATCCGAGGACTGTGAAGAGAGCAAGCTCTCTGGGTCGGCAAAGAAATCGTAGTCTTCGGCCTGGCCGATGGGCGGGTACTGAACAAATTCGTCCCAGAGGTCGGCGGGGGCGGTCAACGTGGGATCAAAGGCATCGAGAGCGTCAAAGCTGAAGGAGGCGTCCATGTCAAAGGGCGAAGCGGCGAAGCTTCCAAATTCTTCCATTAAAACGGGCGGTGATATGGATTGTGGCGAAACCGACTGTGGTGGAGATATCGATTGTGATGCTACCGACGGCGAGGATGTGCGGGCCTTCTTGGTAACCTTGGCGGTGGTGGCACCAGGGGCTACAGCTGTCGGGGCAGCACGCTTCTTGTGGCTGGGGTCGCAGCGGATCTTCTTGCGCTTGCAGCTGTCGCAGGCCTTGATGATGCGCATGAGGTGGGCGTGGTCGCGCTGCTCCTTAGTCTTGGAGCCGCGCGAGGCCGAGTTGGTGACGTCGACGCCATCCTTGGTCATAATCTGCATACCGGGAATGCTGGCAAAGTCGGTAGTACGCACGCGCGAGGCAGGGCTCGCGGGCTTGGACACGCGATGCTGCGAGGAGCGCGATGATACCGAGGCGGTGCGCGAGGTCTGGCTCCAGTCCCACGAGGCGGTGGCGGGCGAGGTGTGGAAGGAAGACGAGGCCGAGGCGGCGGGCGAGGCGGCGACGGGGTAGACGGCATAGAATTTAAATGTCTGCCCAGTGCGCTGTGCGTGGTCAAGGAAGTCGAGGGCCACCGTGGCGCGCTTCTCCTGGGAAGAAGCAGGGCCGACGAGATGGGCGTGTATTAGCTCATCGAGCTCCTGGGTGCCAACAGCAGGGAAGAACTGGAGCTGAGCGCCGAGGGTGGGCTGGAAGATGGAGAAGCCTTGGGGAAGAGCAGAAGCCGACATCGTGTAGGATTGGAAAGACGTCGTGGTTGAGTAGAAATCCAGGTTGGCGAATTTCGAGGACTGGCGGAATAGGTGAGGCCAGGCTGCTCGTTTGTAAGCCTGGAGCTGCCTGGATGAGACAGCGCAGATACTTACAATTGGGAATTGAGAGTCGGGGAAGCGAGGGGGCTGTCTCGGCAAGTTCAAGACAATTCGTGTGTTGCAATTGGATTATTGTAAGACGCTCTTGGTCTGCAAAGACGGAGCTGTGTTGGAGATGAGAGTTTTGGCGAGACCTGATGAGTCTGCGGGGGAGCCTTGAAAGAGGATTGTCGTCAGGCTGGTTAGTCGTCAGATCCAGTAACGCGTAGCCGGGACGCAATTACTGCCGAAATCTGGAAAGGCGGGAAAAATCTCGATTAGATTCTTGGGTGTTCAGAGCGAGTTAGCCGATAGTAGTCGGAAGAAAGCAAAAGAAAGAAGAGGGAAGGAGGGAAACCTGAGGCGCAGGCCGAGGGGAGTCATGCAGGTATTTCAGTAACTAGCAAAAGGCTGCGGGATTGCGATGGCGCCAGGCGGGCAGCGGGCAAGGCAGTGCACCAAGGCGCACACCACAGTGTCGCGAGGGCCCTCTTGCCAGCCAAGTACCTCGTGGTAGCCTCACCCACCAAAAAGGTACCCGCCGTTCCCTCATGGTTTTTTAGACTGGGAGAGCCCACACTAAAGAGGCTGACTCTTTCGGCGTGCTCAGTTTGGTTTGGCGTGCTTTGCAGCCATCCGCGACCTCCACCAATTACACATGGTTATAGCAGCAGGGATCTCTATTTTGGAAGAAATGATTGGTCGCTGGTACCCCACACCACCTACGCCCCACTCGGTGTCTTCGGCGAGAACACGCTGACATGATTGGCGGCGCCGCCTCGCACCGCACCGTCAAAACTTAGCCGGCGCGCCAGTGACTCAACGGCGAGCCTGAACAGGAAGTCGTTCGAGGGATCAAAGATCCGCATTTGATTTTACTATTATCTGGGCTTTGGTTCTTGTGATCCTGGGCCGGCGGGCTGTATCAAATGTGACTTTGATGTTGCTGGTGCATCTTGGTTGAGGTGCATGTCCGGTCGTGATAGTGCACAAGACAAAATGTACACGACGCTGCCCACGAGGTTCCCCGGATTTTGTCTCTTCGGGTTTTCCTTCGCACTTCGGCTGCCGCCAAGTGCTAGTTAGTGGAAGCTTGGTCCGTGTCAGCCACTTCACAGCCTGAGTCTACCACTTGGCCCAAGTATCTCATCACGTCTGCACTAACACCCCACGACAGCCCTCCTCCAAGTAGCAATTGTTAGGAATACTCAGCCGCCTCCCAAATCTTGCCAGGGGTCCTGTTCTTTTCAGATATAAGCGCGGCCGCCCCTTTCCTGGCTCCCACATGCCCTGCTTGCTCGCTCTGCTGGCCCGCAGCGGATACTTGTCCATGCAGTTTACCCTGCACGTCATCATACCCGAGCTACAGTACACTCACAGTGCCTACACCGTGACAAAAAGCATGTTCGGTGATGCAAATGAAATATTTGAGCTGATCTGGTCACAATTGTGAAGCTTGGGCAGCGCCGCCGGCGACATCCATCGCAGCTCGGAAAGACTTACAGCCGACCGACCTTGACAAGCAGCACCACCCTCGCGACAACCCGCATACAGCCGGCTCCGAATTCGGTAAAAACCGCTAACACTAACACGCCTGAAAACACCGCCGTGGGGGCGAGTCCAAGCCGTGCATTGGCATAAATTCGTTGAAATATGAAGGCTAATTTTAGCCACTCTAAATGATATACAGGCCTTCAGTTAAAAAAAACGAATGCAAGCAAAAGCGACACGCCATCATCTCTCGCGCTCTGGCCGATTCATCCCCAGCAGATCATGCGCATGTCGACTCCACGTCCCACCACTCGCCGACGTAAATCTCGGTGTACTAGCCGCCTTCATTGCGACAATCGGTACGCCCGCTGCAGACGGCAGTGGTGCGCCCACGGGACCCAGAGCCAGAGGACCGACCGCCGCAATCCGTCCCCTTCGGCCGCCACCCCCGGGGCGCGCACTCACCATGCGCGCCGCCACCGGCTGGACGGGCTCAAGTGGCACCATGACCTGCGGCGCCAGCCCCGCTGCGTCCTCTCGCCGCGCCGCTTTTCTGCCTCGCGATGCGGGGTTGACGATCCGTGGTCGGCCCGCCGCCGGGTTGGTTTCGCTGCCGCTGGACATGCCTTCCAACGGCAACAATGCGGCTGCTGGTGCTTCGCAAGCCGCAGATTTTTGATCCGGCTCGTACAATGTCGCGTCTTCTAGAGGCGCATCGGACGGCGCTGGTATTTCTGCGAGAGCAACTGGTGCTTTGGGTGTAGCTAGCTTCTGTGTTGGTCCGCAAGTGATTGCGCTTTCGACTGGCACATTGGAAAATGCTGATAATTCTGCCAGAGCAACCTCGGGCGCACTCAACGACTCCAGTTTCGTCTCGTTGGGCTCTGTCGTGGTGGGTGCCACCGCGTCGTTTGCACTGTTGGACCGTACAACGGGCGCGTGTGCTTGAAGGGCAACATTTCGCCGAGATACAAACTGCTTGGGAATCTCCTCGGCAACTTCTGGGACCACAGAAATCGCTTCAGGTAGTATTGGCTCTTGCGGGTCGGTTGCAGCCGCAACAGTCTCCTCGGGGAGAGCAACAGCGGTTTCCCCTGCCACTGCAGGCTCGACGGCGAACAGTTCCTCGATAGGCAAAGGTGCCGCAGAATCTGGCGCAAGCGATGATGCACGTGCCGGCTTTCGTGGTGCCGCGTCGACCTTGGCAGGCTCCGTCGGCACCTCGCTACGAACAGCGGGCACAGGCGGGCCCCCGAGCCGAAACGACGCCGAAGCAAACGGACTTGGAATCAGCGCCTCGATACCCGGAAAAACGTAACCCAAAATCTCTCTGCTGCGAATGCCTTTTCGCGGCAACTTTGCAATTCGCGGTCCTTGCACCTCAGTGACCTCTTTCGTTTCTTCGTGTGCAGACTCGGCTTCTTTGTTGGAGGGGCTGCGCGTGGCTGCTTGGCGTTTTCGCGGCCGAGGTTCCTCTTCCTCTTCACTCGCCTTGTCCTCTTTCGTAGCTTTTCGTCGCTGCCGTTTCCCTTTCGGTGCTTCTTCGCAGTCTGGCTCTGGAGGCGGACTATACGTCCTCCGTTTCTTGGCTCGGCGCCTAGATAGTGGCGGCAAATCATCGTCGCTGCTGGGTTCCGCCAGCGCAGGAGTAGGTTGTCGCTCCGCGGGGGCTGTTTCTGAATAGGTTCTCATTTTCTTGGTTCGGCACCTAGATAACGGCGGCAAATCATCCTCGCTGCTGGGTTCCGCCAGCGCAGGAGTTGGGGCTCGTTCCACGGGGGCTGTTTCTAGGTCCTCGGCAGGGGGCACCGAGCTGGGTATAGTCACTTGTTCAGGCGAGGCCGATCGTGTCCGCTGCGCCTCCGGAGACAGCGTCTTGGCGATTCTATCGCCAGCCTCTTCTTCCACCGCAGTTGGCGGTTTCGGCACTGGTATGCTTGGCTCCTGCATCATGAGCAAGCCTCTCTTTTGTCTTGATCGCATTCGTAGTGTCGTTCTCGGCTCTTTCGGTTTTGGTTCTGCTTGGGCAGTGACCGGCTGCTCTTCTGCCATCTTATCACGTTGCTTCATCTTGCGCTGTAGTTCCTTCGGAGCTTTGCGGGAAATGGGCGCCTGGTCGGGCTCGTCAATGATCATGAGATCCGGTGTAGGTGAACGCCGCGTTGCAGCAGGCTGCTTCTTCTTCTTCTCCGGCTTCTTCGGAGGTGGATCTTCGGGCTGTCGTAGTTCTCGTGATTGCGGTATTTCCTTGCTCTTATTCTTCTGAGGGGACTTCTCTTGTATCGTAGGCTGCTCCTCGTGGCGTGTGTCCTCTGCTGTATGGCCAACAGCGACAGTCTGACGTTGCGGCTTCCGTACCTCTTTTACTTTCTTCTTTGTTGCCTTTTGTGGCCGAGTATCCTCGTCATCTGTAGCCGTTCCCAAATGCCGATTGCCTGCCTCCTCCGCCTCTCTCATCACCGATCGCGCCGTCGCAATTGCAGGCCGCGCCAGCGGCTGCACAGCCGCACGCTGTTCCTTCGCCGGCCTTGACGGCGTCGTCTCTGCCCCATTCTGCTCGAAGAACGGACTGCTCTGCACCGACACCTGCTCCTCCGCATCCCCCTCCTCGTCCTTCTGCGGCGTCGACTGCGACTGCATCCTCTGCCGCAGCGCCCGCGCCCGCGCGGCCAGTAGCTCCGGCCTGGGGCTGGAAGACAGGTTCAGCGTGGTGCCAAACAGGTTCCGCGCGAACCCGGCCTTGCTCGGCGGCGAGGGGCTCGCGCGTCGCTTCCTAGCCGGCGCCGCCACCGTCGGCTGCGCATCCGTGGTCGCCGGCTGGTTCTGGTGCAACCGCTGCTGTTGTCGGGCTTCAAACGGGGAATGCGCTGGAATAGCGGCGCGGCCGATGTGGCCCGGGCTTTGCACCAGGGAGCTCAGCGGGAGATGCGGCCGGTGCTGCGGCGCGGCCTGCGGTTGCGCACCCCGGCCAGCCAACGAGCCACGTGGTGTCGCCCTCGGCGCCTTTGCGGCGGCTACTTGCCGTCGCTTTTCCACCTCGCGCGCCCTCTTGTCCAGGAGCTCCGTCAGGTCCTGCTGCTTCTCGCCAGTGCACACCTCCACCTGGACAAGCGCCATGCCGCGGTCCAGCGAGAACTCGTCGCCCTGGGCCAGATCGCCCTCTTGGTCCCAGTGCGAGTCGCCGACAAAGTGGCCATGGTCGTCGTAGACCATGATCTTCTTGTTGAAGCTGTGGTACTTGAGTTTGCCGTCCTGCCATCGCTTCTGCTTGCGGCGCAGGTCGTGCGTGAAGAGGCATATAAAGTCGTACACGGTCGCGGAGGACGGCGGGCCATCGCGGCCCACGGGCGATGGGTCTTTCGCTACAGCGTAGGACATTTGTTTCTGTGTCTCATGTCGGATCTTGATGAGGGGTTTCGCGAGTTGGCGATTTTGCGGCAGGTTATCGACCAGTCGACAATGTTCCTCGCATCTTGACGTGTTTGGTGAGACGCGTTAATGGATCACGCCCTAACGCCAATCCACGTGATGATAGCCTACCCTGTACAACAGCAAACAAAATCGCCTTTCGGTAATTCCGCATAAATAAAGTGCCTCTCCAGAGCAAAGATAAAAGAGTTTCGCAATATAGAGATCAATTCATCCTGTCTGGAACTGTGACTTTGGCGGGTGTGTTGCTGGGTGTCGATCCTGACTCATGTGCGTGCAGTCTGCTCTATTGTCGCGGACATCCGGGTGGCCGATTCTGCGGTTGAGCTCGCTGAGGCTGTCGGCAAACTACCAGTAGTACAAACTAGATTTTTTGACGAGCTGAGACATGTCTAAGACGTATGTAGGGGGCAATGCCAGAAAGCTTTGCATCGTTGGCTGTTCTTTTTATGAAGAAGTTTCACGGACCTACCCTAAGCTGAATAGCTGAATACGCCCGCATGCCTACCATTTTAACCGCTCACCCTCTGCAAGTTTCTCTTCTCAGCTACTCTAGCTGCTCTGAGACTTTCATAGGCTTTTGAGATGGTAAGGAGTACAAGCGAAGAGCGGAACGGCCGGACACCGGTATAATTTGACACACCGGGTGTCACCCGTCCCCTAAAGTCCTAGATACCACCTCTCCGGTGAGACATCATGTCATCATCATAGAACAAAAAGAGTCCCCCCGGAAGCGTCGCTGGTACTCACAGCGACTGCCTGAGTAGCTGAACTGAGTGGCGAGCTGCTCGTTGAAACCTTAAGAACAGGGAGCAATAAAAAAAAGAAACCAGATCGGGTCGTCTGCCAGTTCGGCCAAAAAAAAATCCAATGACCTATCAGGGATGTGAGCTACTGCAAGACCCGAGTACTGGGTACGAGTCCTGCCAATGAGGTATCGAGTTATTTGCTCTGTCTCAGTCTCAGCCAGCCACCCGATATCGCCACTCGTGATACGCTTCCGGCCTCGCAAGCCTTGCTATTATTAATTTTTCTTGCCCCAAAACTCACTGTTGCTCCCCCAAACTTAAAACCCCCAGCTATCTCTCTCCTGTGTTTTCTGCAGCAGTCTGCACCCACCACAAACCTGCCGCCGCACTACAACACATCATGGTGCGTCCATCACCCCCTTGGGGATACCGCTGGCGGTCTGCCCGCCTCTTCGTCATCGTCACGGTCGGCATCGGCCTCTTCACCGACATGTTCCTGTACGGCATCGTGGTGCCGGTGATGCCGTTTGTGCTGCGCGACCGGCTGGGCGTCGACGCCGGCGACGTGCAGACGCAGACGTCACGCCAACTGGCGGTCTACGCCGGCGCCTCGGTGCTCTTTGCCGTGCCCGTCGGGTGGGCGGCCGACCGTTTCGGCGCGCGCAAGGCGCCGTTTGTCGTCGGCGTCGTGACGCTGCTCGCGAGCACGGCCATGCTGTGCGCCGGCACCACGCTCGCCGTGCTCATGGCGGCGCGCCTGCTGCAGGGCCTGTCCGTCGCCATTGTGTGGGCGGTCGGCATGGCCACGCTGCAGGACCTCGTCGGCACCAGCGAGCTGGGCAGTGTCACGGGCTCCATCTTCTCCTTTGTGTCGGTGGGACAACTGATTGCCCCGGCGCTTGGTGGCTTCTTGTACGAGCTGGGCGGGATGGAGGCCATCTTTGTGCTCAGCGCGGGGATTCTGCTGATTGATCTCGCGATGAGACTGCTCGTGCTCGACAAGTTGGAGATGGGCAACTACGAAGTGGTGTCGGATGTGGACAAGAACCCCGCAGTATCCGAAGCACACGAGCCGACATGCTTGGGTGATGCCAACGAGACATCTCCTCTCCTTGAACGGGACGACGAAACAAAACAGACAAGCTTCCGATTACCTGAGAACGCGGGCTGGGTGGCACGGAACCTCCCAGTGCTATACTGCATGCGCAACCCACGACTCTCGATGGCTCTCGTCATTGCCCTCTCGCAAGGCATTGTTTTCGGTGCCATTGACGCGACAGTACCCATCGAGCTTTCGAACCTCTTTTCTTTTAGCTCTAATCAAGTTGGCTTGGTGTTTGTGTGCATGATGATCCCCTTTGTTGGACTGGGTCAGCCGGCCGGCTGGGCCATAGACAAGTACGGACCGAGAGCGTTGGCGACACTTGGATACTTGATCATGATGCCCGCGCTTGGCCTTCTCGCCTTGCCCTCGCTGGGCGTACTGTCTGACCAGGTCAAGGTGCCATTTTTCTGCATCATCCTGTCCCTCAATGGTGTTGCGCTCGCGACGACGGGACCCATCAGCTGGGTTGAGGCGGCCAGCATCATCGAGGCGTACCACCTGGCGAACCCTGGCTTCTTTGGCAAGCACGGACCGTATGCGCAGCTGCATGGATTCAATTCCGTCTTCTTCTTCACAGGATTGGCGATTGGCCCGCTCATCGGGGGTTGGCTTAATGAGAGCTATGGCTTTGCCACGATGGCGCTGGTATTCGCGGGCGGAGCCGCGGTCATGGTTGGGTTGGTGTCGAGATTTGTTGGGAAGACTGCGTCATCTCTTTAAAATTGGTCAGGACGGTTATGGAAAAATCTAGATGGGATACGGAATCGCTCGGATTTGCGACTGTGCAGTGCAGTCCGGCAAGACGGAGTCGCACGAGCAAGAACTTTGGCTGCGAAGCGTTTGTCACTCTTTAGGGGGAATAATTTTTATAAACTATTCACTAATTCTATTGTTACATTCTTTTCTATAATTACTGCTAGCCTGAGATGTGCCTGTCCATAATTATTGTGGTACTAGAACATGATCGCGTCATCAGTTACCGACGCAGTGACAAAAGGTGCTCCAGCCATTGCCAAGAGGACCAAATTGAGAGAGATGTCTGAAATAATGAATACATTAAGTAAAAAAGCAATAAACGTATGGCCGGCCATTCTTCCTATGTAATTGGTTTGGCCGTCGGGGGCGGAGTTTCGGCTGACCTTTTCCCCAGACGCTGCGGCCGACGGACCCATCTGTAGCCGAGGCCAATCTCCGCGCCTCATATATCTCAACTCGTCGCGTCCAGCAGCCCGAGTACAGCTACAAGTTCCATTGCCCAACTCAACAACTTCATTCAGCAACCTATCCATCATGCCTTCTGCTCTTGAAATCACCGCCGGCGCTTGGCTGCTCACCTCCATCGGCCACACGGTACGCGGCCCGCGCCTGCGTCTCACCCCAACATACTGACAACGGCGCTTGAATAGATCAACGGCCGAGGCTGGCAGTCGCACGCCTCCATCAAGACTCTTCCCCAAGAGCAAAGGACTTGTGCCCGTATTGGTTGGTTCCAGGGCAGTGGCTTCTTTTTCGCTGCTGGTGAGAGCCACCCGTAGCCACCCCTTGGTCTTCTCCTATTCACAACTGACTTGGCCTGTCTCGCAGCTCTCCTCAACTACTACTGGTCAAAGAACCCTGCCGTGCTCCAGGACCCTATCCAAAAGGCCGTTGCTGGTCTCTTCAGCGCCATTCTCGGTGTCAGCTCCGTCGTTTACGCTACCAACGGCGTCGCTGCCAACTCTGTGGTGACGGCTATCGCTTCGGCGCTCCAGGCTTACGCTGCGTTCAAGGCCATCTAGATATCTAGATGTTTCAATACCGTTCATAACTGAATATATTCGAGTCCGCAGCAAATGCGCCAAGTGCAGGGATGTGTGACGTGTACGAGGATGACGAATTGGACCTCATGGCCAGCTACCACACTTTTAAACAATATTTATCGAGATTTTTCAGCAGATGCATTCTTCGCCCCCGAATTGCAGTCATTTGAGAGTCCATTTGACTCGTTTCTCTCGATATTCTCTCCACACGGCTTGATCTTCCTGCAGGTTTAGCGCTGTTGCCCCTGTTAGCCCTCTGAGTCACCACTGACGGCCCACTGTATCTCTGCCTTGCTTGCGTCTTTCTCAAGAGAACATCAACCGTCGCAGGTGAAAAATGTTTGCAGCCGTGTTTGTTTAAAATGGCACCGATGCCAGCTTGCAGTATATTATCCGACAAGTCATGACCATACAACATAAACTACTGAATTTACCATGGACGCCCTGACCGACCTGGCGTCGCTGCGCCTCGACAGTCAGGCAAGGCTCGATAATGCGCCCATCAGCGTCTTGCGCAGCATCTTCCAGCATCTCACCACAGCCCAGAGCCTGGGACGGCTGGCGAGGACCTCAAAGGCCCTCAAAGACATTGTCGAGCACCATGGCTGGAACGTCTTTGTACGTACCCACTTTGGCTACCTCGACTTGCCCCCTGGCCACTGGAAGACACTTGCGAAGCGTTTGACCTGGCAGAACCGCGCATGGGAGCGGCGAGCGTTGCTGGTCTCGTCGCTGGTCTCGTCCAAGAAGTTGATCTTCCAGAGCAGACCGGGTCGGAGCGCGCGTGGTGGTCGTGGTGGTGCACGCAGCGCCCGGCCAGCGCAAACGTTCCCGCCGAGCGTCTTTGTCGACGCCGCCGCGCACGCCAAGGGGAAGAATGAGGAGGAGCTCGTCGCGTGGGGCATCGGAGAGGATGTAGTGGTGAGATGGCGTGAGCTACGCTACGCGGCGCCAAAGAAGGAGAAATGGACCAAGATGATGGGCCAGAGCGAGGAGTTCAAGGCAGGCCAGGACGACGTATCGGCGCTCGCCCTTGTCAAGGACGCGGAGATGGGCAAGGCCGTGACGATGCTGGTTGGGAGAGCCAGCGGGTACTTGCAACTAGTATCGACACATCATACCGACGTAGGGAGGACCATTGCCTGGCTCCAGCCAGAGCCGACTGAGGAGGAAGCGTCGGGCGGTCAGAATGATATACAGCACATTGATGTCAACGCGGTGCAACTATCTGCCGCCGTCGCCACCAAGAAAAGCGTCTTGTTTTACTCACTTCCTGAGCAACGGTCCGACCCTGATGATTTGGATCCCGATGAGATCAAACCGGCCGAGTACCTCATCTCCCCGACCGAGAGCTGCGACCTTAAAGAAATGGACGGCTCCGCAGGCTTTCGACAGATTCGCCAAGTTCGACACATGCATAACGGAGATGTCGCTCTCGCTCTGAGCGGTACCACTGAACCTCTGCGGCTTCTCTCCCGCACGCCCACTGGAACCACCATCATCAACGCAGCCAAGATGCAGGCCTCGGCCCGGTGCGCCGACTCGTACATTTACACGGATCGACAGCTGCAAACCGCGCGCTGTATCCTGCCTCTCGAGGCGACTGCCGTCCCTGGCGGCTCTGCAGCCACACTTCTCAGTTCCTACGATGACGGCACCATCAGGCTGCAAGACATGCGCACACCCTCGGCCGTGGACACCATCTACCAGGACCATTTCGAGCTCACCACGCCCACCGGTCCGCTCCTCGCCGACGGCATGCAGCGCTTCATCGCCGGAAGCGCCCGCACGTCGGTAATTAAGATTTTCGACTACCGATGGACCAAGAGCTACTACTACACCGAGGCGGTGCCCTGCGCCCGGTCGCCGCTTGGCCCGGTGCCCAAGCCTTTGACATGGACCTCGCCGCCAGAAAGCACGCAACGGGAGCGCTGCGGCTACATGGCCGGCCAGCAGTGCGCGCGCCACATGCTGGCCCAGACGGACTTTTACAGACCAAACTGCAACATCTACCTGCCCAACCTGTACCAGGATGCATCGCCCGTGTATTCGCTAGCGAGGGCGTCACCCACCTCGCCTAGTATCTACGCGGGCCTATCGGGCGAGCTCGTCACGATGAGCCTGCGCGACCAGGTGGCGGCTGAAAAGGAAGCGCTGTTTATGCAGAAGAGGGATAGGAAGTCGATGGCGGGATATTCCTACCATGAAGCTCTGACTAGTCTTGTCGAGACTGGCGATGGAATTGCGTTGAATGATATCACCGAAAGCCAGCGAGTACCTGCTGTCCGCAAGCACGGGCGGGACCCGGCGCAGTTGGCAGGACAAGAGTTTGGACGCTTGGACGAGTGGCTGATGTAAACAAGACATGAAAAATATTGACTATAGAAAGGCGTCAGGATACGGCCAAGTACATATATACGACATGGACAACAGACATAATAGCTAGCTAGTCTCCTTAACCCATCCGGCTACTTTACTCATCGTCTAATTCACCCACTCATACTCTGGAAGCACATGCTTCTCCGAGCTCGAAAACGCACCCGCAAACAATTTCTGCACCACGTCCAGCACGCCCGTCCAGCACACAAACTGAAACAGCCTGTTCCGCAGCGCGATCCCCCACGCCGTCTGCGGCGCCATGACGCTCCAAAACAGCGGCGACACCTTTTGCATCTCCCCCACCAGCGGGCGCATCACGTCCTCGTACGCCGCCAGCGCCGCCGCCACATCCTCAGGGGCGTGCCGCCCGACCTCGCCCGCCAGCACGTACGCGCCGGCCATGGCCAGCGTCGTCCCGGCGCCGCTCGGCGCCGCGTACCCGGCGTCGCCCACCAGCGCGAACCAGCTGCCTCGGGACAAGCGCTCGGTCTGCACCTTGACCATTTCGCTGGCGTAGAACGCCTTGGACGTCATCATGCGGTCGAGGATCTCGTCGGTGCGCCAGCCCGCGCCGCGGTAGCGGTCCGCGACGAACTCACGGAGCGCGGCATCGTCTTTCTGCGCGGCGCGGAACGCGCCCCCGAGGTCGGCGGTGCTGGACGCGGCGATGCTCAGGAGGACCCCCTTGCAGCCGCTGCCGTCAGGGTCCGGGCCGAGACAGACCATGCGCCCGCCGGGAGCGCTGTACGAGAGACCGACCTTGCTGCCGGCGAGCAGGTCCTTGTCGATATCAAAGTAGGCGGCCCAGTGGTTGGTCGGAACGATGTGGTCGCGCACGCCGCAGCCGAGCCCCAGCGCGCGCGTGCGCGACGTCGCGCCATCGCACGCCACCACGAGGTCAAACTCCTCTGCCGGCCGGCCGTTTGCAAACTCGACCAGGACCGGCCCGTGGCCGCCGTCGCCGCGGGGCATCATGGCGGCCACTTGCTCGCCAAACACGTAGCGCACGCCGTCGTCGTGCGCCGTGTAGCTGTAGAGGATGCCGGCGAGCGTGCCGCGGAAGATTTCGTACTCGGACACGAGGGACTGCTGGTCGGGGTCGCCGGTGGCGGCGATGGCGCCGAAGCTGCGGTTGTGCGTGTCGACAAAGGAGATGCTGTCCATGGTGGTGCTGGCGGCGCGCACGGCGGCTTCCATGCCCGGCATCTGGCGCATCACCTCGACGCCGACGGTCCGGATGTCGACGTTTTGGCCCGTCCGCCGGAACGAGGGAAAGCGCTCGATGACGGTGACGTGTGCGCCGGTGCGGCGGAACCAGTACGCGGCTGACGTGCCTGCGATGGAGGCGCCGACGATGAGAACTCGTAATTGAGGCATGGTTATGTGTGTAAGGGTGTGCAAGGTGAAGTGGTAGTGTAAGGGGCGAGTTGGAATGATTGCTTGTCTTGTTTGATTATGATATTGATGATCAAAATGGAAGCCGATGGGGGGGAGCGCAAGACGGTTATTTATACCAAACGTCGGGCAGACTTTTTTCTGACAGCCCGGCCGAAAGAAAGCAGAGTCTCGGGCGACGAACCGGCGCCTTTGTCCGGGGCGGATCGCCTCTTCGGCCGGCGGCCACCCGAGCCATTGACCAATCAGAGGCCGCCATCCGCCGTCAGCTTACCAGTCAGAACAAGCATATGACATGAACCACGAATATGTGTGATAAAGATTAAAAAGTCTAGTAAAAGAGATTGGGTTGAAATGCGTATGCAATTGTCATTGCATTCCGCCGTGGAGGAGCCCGTCCCAAAATGACCAGTCGGCATCGTCAATATTAAAGTCCAACGGCGACTCCGACAAGGACGCGCCGCTTTGCCAGCTCAACATGTCTGCATCCAACACATCATCCGCCGTGCTCATCGCTGCTTCTTGGACCGCACGCCGCCGTCGTTTCCTCTCCTGCTGTGCTCGCAGCACCACGACAAACGCTGGCTCCGCACCCTGCCCCCCATCGCACTGGTGGTGTGCGTCCCAGGCGACCAGCGTGAGCTTGCGAAACGCCACATGGATCGTCTGCTTGGAATCGAGCATCTCTGCGTGGTTCTGGTATACCTGCACCATGCGCGTCCAGGCCGATTCCACGTCCGCAGAGGAAAACACGCCTGGCTCCTTCCACAGGCCGTTGAGCACAAACGTGAGCGCATCCCACATGCCCCAGAGGAAAAAGGACTGCGTGTGCCAGCGGAACTTGGACATCCCGGCGTGCGTACACACCGTGTGGTCGGTGTCTAGTATCCGCAGCGCGAGAGGCAGCGTCTTGCGCTTGTCCACGTTGGTCGCCGTCTTGTTTCGCATTTTGGAGAGGTACACACGCAGCCGCATGGCTAGGATGCCCGATCGCGCCAGCGCCATGGACAGGAAATGCAGAGGATTGACAACGTCGCAGTAGCGGAGGTACTTTTCCTCCACATCACGCTCCGCTTCCCGGATCGCTTGCTCCGCCTGTGCCGCTTCGTCAAAGTGGCCGCCGACGCCGCCGCGGTGCGTCTTGCCCGTCTTGGCAAACGCCTGACCGATGCACGTCCTCGAAAGCCGGAACATCATGTCCGTGGCGCCGCTCTGCTCGACGGGCGCGTCCATCATGCCCGGCCAGATCTGGTCGTCGTTGATGTTGAGCGGCTGCCGCACGTCCCACGTCTCGGGCAGCTGCGTGACGGCGGTGCCGGCCATCTGGCTGGCGATGCCGTCGAGGGAGAGGAGGGGATAGAACAAGCGGCGTCGGAGTTCGGTGTCGAACGGGGCGAGACCGAGTTTTGCTCCGTCGCGGTGCAGCCCGATGCGCTGGCCGATGCGGACGGCGGCGCCGGTGAGGATCCAGTGCGTGTGCGCATCGTACGTGTACCGGCTCGGCAGGAGGAAGAGGACTAGAGCTTGCAGAACGGTCACGTCGGTGGTTCTTAGAAAAGAGGCATTGACAAGTGCCTGGCGCGTGGCAAAGTGGAACGAGGAAAGCAGTTCGGTCCGAGACTGGCCCAGCTTTTCGGCGCACTCTTCGTCCGTCATGGAGAATACGGCGAAGTGGTATATGGAAAAGGCGAGGCATTCATCTCGGGGTTTGGCAAGTTGAGGATCTCGCGCAATCTGCTCCATAGTGATACGTGTCGAAGGCACGTGGAGCATCTTGGTGATGGGCTCGATATTCTCCGCGTACGTCTGCCACATCACCATGGCAGCCTCTTCTGTCGGATGGTAGTGGCCCAAAGCCTGCCTGGTACCCAGCAACGCATCCGACAGCGGATCCGAAACCGCCAGCGCGCGCATCTGCGTCACGCCGAGCTCACCACCCTCCTCCTCTTCATCCGAAGCTAGCTGGTCCTCCCCGACTCCAATATTCCTCCAGAAGCTGCCATCGACATATCGCGACCTTCCCTTCCCCGCAATCACGGCGCCGCTCTCCTGCCCCACGCTCGCGTTCCAGTGAATGGAGATCGGGTGGTCCTTGGGCGCCGCCGCCGGCTCACCAGACGCCTCAGCACCCGCAGCGTCGAGCAGACCGTGCTCTTTCAGCAGCCGTTCGTAGCGCGCGAGCCGGTCGAGGACGTCCCTCGTCACCAGCCGCTTGCCGCTGCGTGGGGGCGGCGCCTCGTAGACGCACGCGGCACCGGTTTTGCGACAGGCAGCGCAGGTGGGAGCCGCCTTGTCGCATTTTACTTTGCGTCGGCCGCACGGCTGGCATGAATAGCCCATGGTGCGCTGCGGCAGCGGCTTGTGGTCTAGTGGCGCTGGCGCGATGGTAGAAAAGTTCATCATGATGCCTCCCGTTACCATGCAGCTGGAGAAAGTGTATAAGGGCCACACTCAGTTGAATCTCTCAAATGCTTCATCTGGCTGATGAAGTCTTGCCCGTCAAAGATCAGGTGAGTACATAAAGATAATTTGACGAATGACGTCAACAAGAACAGGTCGCGTGGTCTAGCTGGTTATGGCACCTCGTTAACACCGAGAAGGTCCCCGGTTCGAGCCCGGGCGTGACCTATGTTTTTTGCTCTCGGAGAGTATTCTTTTTTCCGGCGCGCCTTTTTGCCTCGTATTAATAACCATAGAGTACTTAATTGGCGTGAGCTATAGAAACAAATAATCAAGCTCTTCCCCACTTGCATAAGAGGACCGTTCAAGGAGGGCAACACTCAAATTACGATGATCAATTCGAGACTTGAAAATGACAGTCTCAAGCCGGGTTACAGTGAGATTCCAAAAAATGATTGGCAGTAATTTTTCTCGATTCAATTTTTTCCGGAAACCGAACCCGCTGAAGAAAGAAAACGCCTACCCTGAAAACTGTGCCGCCATGCTTTTTCTACACTTTGCCCACTAAAAAAAAAGAATCAAGTCTCCTGTTCACCTTTGCCAGTTTGGCCCCTCCGCCTCGTACTCGACGACAACCTTGGTCGTCTTTTGAATAAACATCCGATCCGACGCATCTGTCCTTGTTGACGCATCTGTTCTTGCCGACGCATCTGTCCTTGCCGACGCTGCATCATCCACCGCCCGTCGCGGGGGCCGGTTCGCCGATCCGTAGTACGGGCGGCTCGCATCGGCCACCGCCATACTGGAGCGTTTCGCCGACAGCCACGGGCCCGAGCCATCGGCCGCTTCTCCGGGCTGGCGGTCGACGCGACGAAACATTTCGAGCTTGTAGCCTGTCTCGCACGAGGCGGAGGCGGCGGCGCTGCGTCCGATGATGCCGCCGCCGCCGCCGACCCTGCTGGCGTTGCTTTGGCTGCCGTAGGCCAGCATGGGCTGGCGGAAGACGGTGAGGAACGGCTTGAGCGCGGTGAGGGACGTGGCCATGATGGAGAATTGCAGGGCGCCGGCGGTGAGGATGGCGGCCGGGATGGTGGAGTGGTTGAGGTCATCGTCGTCGTTTTTGCTCGGCGCAAGGTAGACGAGGCGCATGGCGATGATGGGAAGAAGCCTGCCGAGTGGCAGCGGTTAGACGACAACTGCATAACGGAAGAAGAAGAGACTGACAATAGACGGAAGCCAAACACGGCGACAATGATGACGCGCCGGCTCAGCTGCATTTGCAGCGACCAGACGAGATGGATCGTCAGTACCCAGAGCACCACCTCAATCGCCAACCCGCTGGCCTCGACAGCCATCCATCGCGAAAACATGCCCCGCTGGCCGTCCAGTGCCAGCCACGGACTGCGATACGGTGATCGGATGGCAACGGCAAGCAGGCACACGAGCGTCCATGCGCCGGACAGCGAGGCCATTCCCCTTGCGGGTCGGACATGAGGCCCATGCTGCGAGATTTGCTTAATGACAAAGGCTGACGCGACTCTTGTCAGACCAACAGATAGTACGTAGAAGAACTGCCCGGCGTAAATGTGCTGTTGCAGAGTTGTCAGGGGCCTTTTTTCCCGTCTCACATTCGTTGTTGAAGCATACCTTGCGAATGCTGTCGAGCGTGGGTGCTGATAGACTTTCGCTTCGCTTGCCGTAGCCCTCGTTGATTGCCGTGTACATGATGCCCTGACAGGCAAAAGACGAAACCTGGACCGTTCAGCTTACTCCCTTGGGGTGCCTCTTTGCGTACCAAGTTGGGTGTTTTTGTCACCTACCAGAGCGCAGGTAACTGCCACGTCGTCTGCTCCGGTCGTCTTGACCCGGAGTTTCGCCCACAGGCGCACGCCGTAGAAGAGGACCGACCATGTCAAAAACATAATCATGGCCAGTTTGAGCCACAACCCGTGGTCATCGCCAGACATGACAAAGCGGCAAAGGCGAGAACAAGCCCGCCCCTACTTCCAACTCGAAATGGACCGGTGGGCGAAGGCGGGGGATCTAGCAATACTCAAGGCTTGGCAAAGAGCGGCTCCTCTACTTTTTGACCGATCTATGGAGTAATTAGCAACTAGTATTAGCCCCCATCTGTCACTCATCGGCGACCACCACCCTCTCAGTCTGCTTGCGAACCAACAGTTGGGCCCGGACGGGATCCACGCCGCGGCTCCATCGCCGCGCAAACACATCGGGTCCGAGGGACTTTATTAGAGAGAGATGGGAGAGTGACAGTTGCGGAGGAGTTGCAACGTGGCGTTTGACTTGTCGCGGTATTGAGCGCCCTACACGTCGTGGTCATGTTTGCGCATGTCTTGGAGGGCATCCCTGCTAGGGTTTGTGATGAGCGTATCTCTGGGCGCCTCTTGAGCACGTCCGCGCGTACATCTGGCGGCGACGCATAACCACCGTTTCGGGCCTTGAATTCAGCAGCGAAAAGGACGGCATCCATCCTTGATAATGAACTACTGCAAGGAGCCGTCACTAGGTGGTAGCTGGAGTTGGTGCTTTGTTGCTTGAAAATCCGAAGTCGACATTGGTCCCTTCATTGCGTCAAAAGACGAAGTTTACACGCAATCAGGGGGGGAAGGCCCGGAATAATTTGCTTCTTCGCGGAAAGTGCATTGACGAGTTCGATGAGCGCGCCCGCACCCGGCCGCTAGCCTCGAACAGGGGGCGCCGGAACGATGCCGCGTAGAGAGAAATGCGGAGAGAAAAATCCTGCATCATTTTCAAGAATCAGATGGAAGTTGTTGGACCAACAGAGGGTCGATCTCAATCTGTGGTGTGCGTGAGACAGCCCAGCCTTGGGCTGCCGTTGGGACGCGACGCCTTTCAGCTGGGAAGCAGAGCGTCGTGGAAAGGACTTTGTTCGAGAATCGATGTAGTAGGGTTACACGGCATCGATAAATATGTGATGTGGTATTGATCATCATGCATGTCGCATGCAGCCTGGCACTAGCACCAGAGCCTTGCCTGGAAGGCCATCTCATCTGTCTCTGCCTCCATTGCCCGACACCTCCTCCGATTCCTTTCGCTTCCTTCTTCTCCTTTTTCCAAACTCAACAACCTTCTTGGCCGCCAAAACCTTCACCATGAGCGCCTCCGGCCTGGTAGCGGCCGCGACGACGGGCGTCTTCAAAGACGGTCCCATCGAGATGACCACCGTCTCCGCCAACGGGGGCACCTCCTTCATCTCGGACCACGGCGACGACCCGGAGCACAAGTCGACGGCGGCCGACGTCGTGGCCATGCAGCGCATGGGACGCACGCAGGAGCTCGTGCGGCACTTCCGCACCCTCTCCATGATTTCCTTTGTAGCCCTCTCCACGACGGCGTGGGAGACCAACATCTTCGTCTTCACCCAGGGCCTCAAGGACGGCGGCCGCCCGGGCGTCATGTACAGCCTGCTCTGGTGCTTTGTCGGCTTCGTCCCCATCTACCTGAGCATGGCCGAGATGGCGAGCATGGCCCCGATCGCCGGCGCGCAGTACCACTGGGTCAGCGAGTTTGCGCCGGAGCGGTACCAGAAGATTCTGAGTTACTTGACGGGGTACGTCTGAGCGGCGAGGGCTTTTTGAGTCGGTTGGGCTGACAGGAATTCAGGTGGACGTCGACGCTGGCTTGGCAGGCCGGTAATGCCCTGGGCATGTTTGAGGTCGGCATTGTCATCCAAGCCATCATCACGGCGAATATCGAGTACAACGCCCCGAGATGGCATGCCACCATCATCAACATTGTATTCACCCTGTTTGCGCTCGCGGCCAATATCCTCGGTTCTCGAGCTCTGCCGTACTGGCAGAATGCCGTCTTTGCGCTTCACATCCTCGCTTTTGTTGCCTTTCTGACTCCAATTTGGATCAATGTGCCGAGGGCTAGCCACCACGACGTCTGGGCTCTTTGGGAGAACCGCGGTGGCTGGCCGACCTTGCTGTTATCCGTTCTTGTTGGCCAGATGCCAGGCATTTCCGCCCATGTCGGTATCGACACTGTAAGTAGCAACCATCCCGCCGTTTGCACACCGCTCATCTCGTGCAGGCTGCCCACATGGCAGAGGAAGTCCGCGACGCCGCCAAGACGATTCCCAAAATCATGCTCGTCGGTTTTGGAATCAACATGACTCTCATTTTCCTGACACTTCTTACCTTTTGCTACCACATTGTCGACATCCCGACCGCTCTCGATGATCCTACCGGCTACCCTGGAGTCTGGGTTATCCGGCAGTCGATGAGCCAGCCATGGCTGAACATCCTGCTTGCCGTCATCCTTATCCTGGAAGTCTTTGGCGAGCTCTCCTACTTTGCTGCCGTCAGCCGTGATCTTTTCGCTTTCGCGCGCGACAACGGCCTTCCTTTCTCTCAATGGCTCGCCAAGGTGGACACCAAGCGCCAGATTCCTGTCAATGCTTACATCTTCTCCGCCGGCTTCAGCATTCTTCTTAGTTTCATCTATCTCGGTAGTCAGGTGGCCTTCTATGCCGTCGTGTCGCTCTCCACGGTATCCTTGCTGCAGTGCTACATGTTCAGCATTGGCTGCATCATGTGGCGCCGCATCTATTATCCCCATACGCTGCCCCCAGCGCGCTTCTCCCTCGGTCGCTGGGGCCTCTCCATCAACCTCGCCGCAGTCATCTTCTCACTCTGGGGCTTCTTCTGGGCTTTCTGGCCAGAGACGTACCCGGTGACGGCTGAGGGATTCAACTGGGCCTCGATCATCTTTGTCGCCACGCTGGTGCTGGCAATGATCTACTACGTCGCTGGTGGCCGTGCCAAGTACCACGGCCCTGTTGTACTGGTAGAAGGTCGTAAGCTGCGTGCAGAGTAGAATTTGAAGAGACGGATTCTTTCGTGTCGGAGAATGAATAATGATACCGAAATTATGGATTAGGAATTTGCCAGGACGGAGAGTAATGTGTCAGGACGGTAGTGTGTCAGCCCACGAGTGCATAGCCGCATGGGGGTTGTCAGTCCGGGAATCTATGCAATATGCAGTATTTCCGGCTTACAGAGCACATAAACATATTCACCGTTCATATCGCGAAGTATAATTAGTATTCGTAACTTTAGGTACATGCTGTATGTCTCGCTCCACTGAGCTTAGGCAGCCATGCACGAGGCCACGTGCCAGTTCAGTCATGAATAGGTATCTAAAAAATAATGCCAGCCTCGTTCAGACCCAACACATCCAACCCTGCAATTGACTATTTGAAATGGAACACACAGCGAGCAAACCGTCCCTGGCGCACCTCCCAAACGAGCTTCTCGACTCAATCGGCCTGTTGATCTGTTCCTTTGACGATGTGCATGCACTTGCCTTGACCTGCCAACGTTTCAGCAAAGTCTTTCTCCCTCGTCTCTATGAGCTCAACAGCCAGAAGGCACACCCTCACGGCGGCGCACTCGGCTGGGCGGTGTGCCGGGACGACCTTGCTCTCGCGCAGCGCGCCATTGACACGGGGGCCCAGTTGGACATGGGCTTCAAGCCGTGCCGCAGGCTCCTCTCCGACGACGACTTGCACTGGCTCGCGGAGCGCGAGACGTTTGGCAGCAGCTACTACGACTGGGTGACCTGCAACCCCTACCGGCTGTACTATACGCCAATCCACACAGTCGTCAAATGCGTGACGACGCCGCTCGTGCAGGCCGTTTGGCGCGGCAACGTGGCCATGGCGCGCCTCCTCCTCAGCGCTGGCGCGGATGTCAACCGGCAGCCGTGCAAGACGCGGGCGCCGCTCGCGGTTGCGATTGAGCGAGGCCGTTTGCCCATGGTCCAGCTGCTCGTGGAAACGGGGCAGATTGATTGGGAAAAGATGCATGGCCATAACTGCAAGGCCTTGGGTCTCGCCGCGCACTACAACAGCCCCGAGATTCTCGAGTACCTGCTTCCCTATATCAAGGACGAGGACGAGGACGAGCTATATCCAATCACAGCAGAGATCCGCAGCGCGCTTGAAGTCGCTATTGAGCACGGCCGCTACGGCATGGTCGAAACGCTTCTGGCCCATCCAAAGATGAATCCCAAATGGTACCTTGTGCAACCGCTCGCGATGAAGCAGCTCAAGGCATTCCAGATGATCTGGATGCATCCAAGCTGCAAACGGGAAATCAACCAGGGAGCTCATTGCAACGCTATCGAGATCGCTGCTCAGCATAAATTGAGCGACACGGTAGCCTTTCTAAAAGATGATATGAGGGAGCGCTTCCCGACCCTGTGGCAGAAACGCTATTTTCAGAAGGATAAATCTCACGTTGAGGCATCCGAGCTTGGAGACAGCGAAAGTACCTAAGCGTACGTTGGTACCTTGCGATGGAGAACTGCTTGCTTGGCTCACCACATTTACTTGCGCACTCGCTGCTTGAGGGTGCAGCCTGTCTCGTCGCTTGTAGGCGTAGCTATCACAATTAATATAATACCTTGTCATCGAGAACAAGTTGACCGAAACCCCAAATGATCGCGCCTAGCTACAGCTTTTCGTGTCATTCCTGTATTTGTGAGCGTTTGAGCGGTGGGCGCATACTCAGATGCATGCATAATAGCAACTTCAAGAGTGCAAACCGAATCTGCGGCGGACTTTGCAAGACGTAGTGATAAACAATCTTTGACAATAATGAGAGAGTACAAAACAAGGGTGACTAATATTCAGGCTGCAGAAGAATGATGCTCTCGTCTGTTTTCTGCCGACCCAGCCACCAGCCGCCAGCCGCCGCCGAGCAAACGGCTGTGATTATTTTTGTCACCTTCTTCACCCATTCAAACCCTTCTCACCTTGCCATCCAACTCTACTGTTCCATCACACACTCTCTGATTATCAACAAATCGACGTGGAAATGGCATTTGACGGGAAGAAGGGTACGGGCATAGGCCATCTACCCGATCATCTGCTGCTCGAGATTGGTGGCTGGCTACGCGTGTGCAGCAATCTATACGCTTTGATCTTGACAAGCAGGCGTTTTCACAACTTGTTTGAAAAGGAGCTTTACCGACTCGACACGAGTGGAACGAGATTCTCGAAATCGCTCCTGCGAGTGTCCGAGTGCGACTATGTTCTTGTCAACAAACTCACCAAGTTCGGCTGTAGTCTTGATGTCAGCTGCCGTCGTCTCTCGTCATCAGGAGAAGAGATGACAGCTCTCGTTCGAGCTATGCGTAAAAACCATTTTGGTTTGGCTGCAGTTCTCGCATTGGCCGGCGCAAACGTGGACAAAGCGCCCAACGCCTCGAACATCCCTGTGTTTATGGCGCTGGAAGAAAAGACTGGCCTCGATATTTTTAAGATGCTGATTACAGTCGGGAATGCCGATCTCACTGTGTTGAACGAAAAGGGCCACGGACTGCTCACAGCAGCGTCCTCCAACGACAATATAGAGGCTGTCCGCTACCTGCTGTCTTATCCGTCTCGGCTCAACGTCAAAAACACTGAGAAGTCTACCCCGTTCCACCAAGCGATACGCAATGATAATTTCGATATGCTTCTACTACTTCTGAATAGCCAGTATACATATCCGAACATGCCCGACGAGCACAACACAACCGCGCTGGAGCTTGCGTGCACCCTGGGCAGACTGGACCATGTGCATGCTCTGTTGGACGACATTAGGGTGAGCCAAAAGAGTTCCACGGTATTGAGAACGCTTCGGGCAAAGCGCTATGACCTGGTGTTGCTCCTTCTTACGCACGACAACGCCGTCCAGCCATGCGCAAAGGTATTTCCGCTGGCTTGCAAAAAGAAACAAGAAGTGATTGCCTGGAAAGTCCTTGAAGCGAGTCGTCCGAGTCAAGAGGAAGCTTTCGACTGGAGGAAATGTGCGAAACGGAACGGCTTTGTTTATCTCGCCACAACGATTACGGATCGGTTCGGGTTGGACTTTTAATGAGTAGTTTTGGACAGAACTCAAGACAGAAAGATATGATCTCTTGGCTAAAGACATAGAATCTGGCGATGTTGCTAATAAAACGAAGTTCAACATACTGTTTTGACCGTGCCTGTTGGAAGCTGTGCATGGATCTGTAGCGACCTTGGTGTAGAGTGCATTCGGCTTCCCCTACCACTGGGGCTATCTCTCTTCTAAAATCTTGGGAAGCGAGTTCTCCTGAAAAGATGACTGTATTAATACACGGGAAATGTGAGCGATACCTCGATGTAAAAGGGTAGGGAGGAGACAACATCGAAGCTAGCTACATATCGCCCACGAGATAGACGGCGCGATGGAACTGGCCTTGATGACGGAGAATGGCGGCCTCGTTGAGATGTTTGTCAATGTGGCAGAGGGAACGCCTTTGAAAGGGCTGATTTCAGCATTTTTTTTTCGCGGCGCCGGGGCTAGGATGATGACTCGGCGGAGCGAATCAGAAAACAGAACCAGGCATGTCGCGACAGCATCGCAGAGCAGACTGACGCTAGGGCCGAGGGGTTGGAATGATAGAGCCGCTGTAGCGGTTCGTCAATGCTCTTTCAGTGTCATGTTCTGTTTTGGGGCCGTGCAAGGAAATAGAGTGGCAAGGTCTTGGCTGCTCGCACAGGGTGGTTGCCGCCAGGGTGACAAAAATGAAGCAGCGACTGGTAAGATGCCAGTCTTGATAAAGGTACAAACAGACGTGAAGAAAAAACAAATACGGACCATGCAACGACGGCTGAGTTACGTTGTACTAATTCACCACGCTGCCTCCACCTATCATGGCGGGCATGGCCAAGGCAACTGGGAACGCTGCCGATTTCAGCCGACTCTCTCGGTGCAGTCGCTAACTATTCTCTATACGACAGGACGTTTTAATTCTATACGATGCGTCTCTGGGTCATCCCTTATCCAAAGCCCTGGCGCGGGCAAGTCGGCGGCTGCACGTCGTGGCAAGCCAGGTCGTGAGCGCCGGGCCGCTTGTCTGTCCCACGGGGTCCTCGGGAAAAAAATCACGAAAAGACTGCCAGAGAAGTTGAAGAAGTTGAAAGTATTCAAGCCTTGAAACTTACCAGAAAGTGGCGTCCACCAGGCAGCGGTGTATTTCAACCTTGTGCACAGTGCGAATTGCGCATCCATCGCGCACTTGACACTTTGGTATACCAACTTGTTTCCAGAAGATAACTTTGCTCTCGGTTTACATAGGTCCTTTCGTTAGCCTCGCAAAACGACACCCATCACAAAGCGATGTCCAACGCCAGTCTCACGCAGATACCTCTCGAGTTGCTGTACCTCATCGTCAGCTTCCTCGACAGCGCTTCTCAGATCAGCCACCTTTCCCGCGCGAGTCGTCGTCTACTAGTCGTCTTGGAGCCTCTTCTCTACTGTTACGACGTATCCACCACCAGAGGGCGCTGTCCCGAGTCACTCAAATGGGCTCTGCTCTGGGGCAGCCTCGGCGTTGATGACAGAGTTCGCATTGCACAAAAGTCTATCCAGGCAGGCTGTGATGTTGACTGCCTGGTAGAGCTGAATGGACCGGGCTATTCAATCTTCGGCTTCGGTAGCAGCAACGTGTGCAGCGTCTCCCGCGTTCCTTGCTGGCCATACATCGGCGCTCCCCCTCCCCGCACCATCACCGCGGTCGGCGTAGCCGCGGCGACTGACTGCGTCCCCCTGATGCAGACGCTTATTGATGCTGGCGCAGACATAAACAAACCATCCTGGCCAATCTTCACTCCCATTCGATTGGCCGTCATCTTCAAGAGTACCGACGCTGTCAAAGCGCTCCTCGGCCAACCCACCATCGACCTCACAAACAAACGGACCACTTCGAGTCTTCTCCTCTCCGCTGTGATGAGTTCGGCGCTCGATATTGCAAGCATGATTCTCCCTCGATCGAACCCCAACGAAAGTTACTTCTACATCACGGCGCTTAGCCAGGCCATTGACAAAGCCGACGTGCCGATGGTCTCGCTGCTGCTCACCTCCCCGGTCATGCGCGTCAACGACTTCCATGTTCACACAAGCAGCCGTGAATATCCTGACGCAGCTCCGGCGGGTGTTATTGGAACGTACTTTTCATTTGCCTGCAGCCTCGCTAGCCTGCAAATTGTTAAGCTGCTGCATGCCAACCGTCGAGTCAACGTTGACCTATGCCAGTACGCCGACTATCTGCCCGTCAAATGTGCCATGGACCACGATCGAGCACAGACTGTCCAATTTTTGATCGGCTCGAACAAGTGCAAAACGGCAAGACATTACGTCTTTCAGAGGGCTTGCGCTGAGAACAATATGCAACTCGCGCAGGACGTCCTGCAAGTGGCCGGACGGCGGGACAAGACCAACGCCAAAGAATGGGAGGAACTTGCGCGAGATGTCGGCTGGCACAATTTGGCAAGTCTTGTTAACAAAAGATGGAGCAAAAGGTAAGTTTTATTTTCTTTCTCTTTTCCTTTTTTCCTTTTTTCTTTTTTTCTTTTTTTCCTTTT